CAGTTCCACCCTCGCCTTAGTGAAGAAACTGACAAGGTGCCAAGAGGGTGTAGCATTGCGTGCTTCTCTCCGCCGCAGCTTTCACCTTGTTCACCATATCATAGTCGATCGATCCATGTATCCCACCGGCCCAAATCATCCTCATGTTCCTTAACATCCCTTTCCTAACATTGAAACACTGCAAGAAACACTAACGATGAGTAAACGCAACAAACACCAGTTTAATAGTGTGTTTTCCGTCCAAATCCACAAGGAAGATGCTGAGATGTCGCTGTTTTTCCTTTGGTCAAATCATAGATTTCCATGTCGATCAAATGTGGAAAAGTTGGAGAAATTTGAGTTGACAGCAAAACAGTAAGCTCGTTCAAATTTATATGACCAGACCAGTCGACCTAATTGGAACAACCTACTGAAAAAACTAAACGAGAATAACTAATGTGAGGCATGTACTTATTCGCATACAGTACCAAACTAAGACATCAGATGTTAATTATAAACTTCAACTGGATCATGAAAACAATAGTACCTTGGATAAGGAGAGCCCTTGATGGGTTTCTGGCCATACTTCCTCCATGCCCATAGATCAGATGGAATCACCTCCCCTCCCCCTCCTGCCCGGTTGCTCATCACCGGCGGCGCCGGGATGCACACCACCTTCCTCACATCGTTCTTTCTGCAGTATGGTATATGCGTGCAAGCCATGCCGCAATAACTTAATGTGGTGAATGGCAGAGCAGTTAGAGCTTTTGAAGAACAATTAAACATGTCCCCACAAAAAACATCTTCCAATAAACATCATGAAAGGAATAAAGAAGCCTAATTTAATTTGAAAGGGGAGAAACATGCAGCTATCCATGCATCAAATATCAGGAATTCAAAACTATGAACTGTTGAGTTAACTCATGGTAGCAGAAACAGAATGACAATTTCACAGATGTGAAGTATTTAATTGTTCTTTCAATCTACTGAAAAATGATGCTGAAATGAACCAATGGAAATGCATAGAAAGAACTAAAGATTAGATAGAATAGAACCACAGAAAATTACATAGGTACATGCATGAACTAATGCAATTGTAAGGGAAGGGGGGAAATGTATTAAAAAAGGAGCAAATGACAAATAAAATACTGAAGCAACAAAGAATAGGACAGATCAAGTCTCTCCGCTAGGAAAGAAATTAGGATGGATGGAAGGGGAATTAATTAGGAGTTAATAACCTGGTGATCATCTGATGATGAGGAGCCGGTGGTGGTGGTGGTGGTGGTGGCGAGATCCTCATGGGGTCGTCGCTGTCGGCGGCGGCGCAGCACGCATGCTCAGAGATCTGGAAAGCCAGCAGTTGCTGGTGCTGGTGCTGCTGCTGCTGCGGCAGCCCATATCCACCAGCCGCCGCCAGAAGGTACGGGTCGACCACAACGGTTGACGGCGGGGCCTCAAAGGTAACCTGGCCGCCGCCGCCGCCGCAGGCGACGTTCGCAGGCCGCCGTTGTCTCTCCTCCTCGTAGGGGATCATGACGCGAGCTGCCGCAGAAGGGGGAGGTGGTGGTGGTGCTTGGCGACGGGCTCCGGCGGAGTAGGGCATTGAGTTGGCACGGGCCACGACATCGGCGAGGTCGCCTTCCCGCGCTGCAGTGGCGGCGGCGTTGGCCTGCTCCTCCATATCCATAGTGGTCTTGTGCTCTCTGCTGTATCTTTTCTTGTTTATACTATTACCAGCCTAGTCTTTGCTACTCCTAGCTTAGCCACACACACACACGCAGCCAGCTTGCAGGAGCTGTACACACACACACACACACACACACACACACACACACACACACTCACACTGTCCTCCTCTCTCTAAAACTCTCTCTCTATCTCTGATTCATGAGCTATATCTAGGTAGCTAGGTGACAATGGAGCACAATTTGGCAGGGCTGTGGTGCAAGCGGGTAAGTGCGCGTGTGTCTTTTCATGGACTAACCACATGAGGAGATACGCGATCTGATGGCTGGCTATGAGTCTAGTCTACGTATGGTGAGCGTGAGGCGGACCGGTCGGATGTGTAGGACGAAATAAGCGACCTGCATTTATTTTGAGCTCAGGACACTGTTGGCGCCAACTGTGAGCAGCTTATTGCACCACAGAACAGAGGTCAGGACATTACGGCACTCCCTCCATCCGTCTCTCTGCAAGGACTACTGCCTTTGCCCCCCTTATTTAGAGAGAGGAAAACGACAACGGGACAGGGACATGGTGGCACTTATGAGAGAGAGAGAGAGAGAGAGAGAGAGGAGTAGGGCTTGGCAAGCTGGTCCTTTCCCCCTCACCAGCTTCTTTTCACCACACCTCAAGTTTTTTGGGGAGAACCTAGTGAATGAACGTTCACTCTTCAGCCTTAGGGAGAGCACATTCCGCGCTCCCAATCTGGTCGCGTGTTGCCGTAAAAGAGAGGAAGAAGAATCGGGAGGAGGAATTACGCCCCCTCGCCGCGACCTAGATGGCTTGGCTGGACACCTAGCCTTATCAAGGTGTTGGTCAAAGTATGACGACACGGGGTCGGTGGAAAAGCGACAAAAGGAGGAGTTGGCGTGAGGAATAAGGGAAGAGAGGTGTCTAGGTTAAAGAGGAAGAAGAGTGGAGCGATGTTCACACAAATTGGACTACATAGTCAACACCTCGTTGTAGAAGCATCCTTAGATACATCTCAAGACGGTCTCAACGTGCTATTTATCACTAGAGACGGTTGAATAGGGTTTTAATTACCAGGAAGATTTTATGGTAAACCATGGAAGAAATAAAAGTAGCAATGCGGGTAGCCTATTACATCACCATTTATTTGGTCACCAAACTATACCGGGCAAATTTGGTCCTCACTCCATGTGAAACAGTTTTTGCGAAGGTGCGGCTTCTTTTTATACACATGACAACCTAGTCAACTATATATGATAAGCAAAAAAAAGGTCAATTGTATCAAGAAATTTGACAAAATAGTAGAAATCATGGATAATTTATCAAAAATTATGGAAAATTTAAATTTATTTAAGACATGTTATAACACAGAGTTATAAAATATATAGTCTTTTAAGACTGTAATTTTATTTGTTTTATAAAAATGCGAGGAAAAATGGATTGCGGGATAAATGAAAAAACTATAATTGTAGAATAGTCCATGTATGTTACCAACAATTTTAAAATCATTGAAGTACCTACGAATTTATTTGATTTTAGTAAATTCTCCTTGAAATATTTTATTCTTCATGACTCCAATAAATTATTTACTCCCTCGGATCCAAAATAGGTGTCACAGTTTTGAACGAAAGTTGAACTAACCTTAGTTCAAAGCTGCAACACTTATTTTGGATTGGAGGGAGTATTATGTTTTTCTTCAAAATTTTGTTTTTATTCTTTGAGTTAATTTCCCAAATTTGTTAAAATAGATTGATTTGTTGTATAATTAGATTCTTAACTTTCTGTTGTAATTTAGTAATTGCAAAAAAGGTCAATTTTTTAACAAAAATCCGAAACATACTTAACCTTCTGTTGTACTCATATTAAAAAGTCAACGAAAAAAAACTCCCGTCGACTTTAGGGCAAAAATAACAAATTTTCGAGAACAAGAAGTGTGAATAGTAACTTGTACATAGCGTTAATATTTTTCCACCTGGATACCATGAAAGTCAAGATTTTTTTCAAAAAATATTTAGATTTTTTAACTTTTTTGCAATTACTAAATTATTTTTTCATATTAGGTGCATATACATCCGACAACTAAAGGTGTGTGCCCCCCTGTTGCAGATTCTCTTAGAGCATCTCTAGCAGACCCCGCATCCCGCCGACCCGCAAAACACGTTTGCAGTTCGTGAAAAAACGGCTTTGCGGGCCGGCACGGACAGCCGCAAATGCAGACCCCGTATAACGGACCCGTAAAAAAGAATATTCATGTATATTCTTTCCCGTGTCTTCTTCTTCCTCTTGCCTGTGTTCATAGTCAGCTCCCGTCGTCCATGGTAGTCGCCGAATCGATTTAGGAGGCAGCTCCTCCGTTGCCGGATGGATCCAGGAGCTAGCTAGCTATTCCATGGCCGGCTGGATCGAGGAGCTTGCTAGCTACTCCCTCAACGTTCGTGGCCGGATGGATCGAGGACCTTGCTAGCTAGCTAGCTAGCTTGCTCGTTCGTGGCCGGATGGATTAGTAGCTTGCTAGCTAGCTCGTTCGTGGCCGAGTAGCGGTAAACGGCGAGTTTCCGGCGAGATTCCGATGAGTTCCGTGGCGGCAGCGGTAAACGGCGAGTTTCCAGCGAGATTCCGGCGAGTTCCATGGCGGAAGGTCACCGGAGCACGTGTGCACACGGCGGAATTTCCTTGTCGCGTAGCGTTGACCGGTTTGCAGTTCCCCTTATATTTTACCTCCAAATCTGCAAAATTAAGGGTCGTGGGATGGATTCACAGGCCTGCAAAATTTTTACGGGTTTGACCGCTTTTGCGGGTTTTATTCGGGACGTTTTTTGACACCACGAATCTGCAAACGTAGATTTTTACGGGTTTAACCGTTTTTGCGGGGTCTGCTAGAGATGCTCTTACTGCCTCCGGGCAGCGAAAAACTAAATTCTAACACAAGTGTGAGGAATGCAACCTGTGCAATCAGACCGGCCTGCTGTTCATGAGAAACATACCGTGCTGGGCAACATATTTAATTAGATTCTGTGTTCCCCCTTGTCACATATGTGTGGACGTACGCATGCCTATGTGCATGTACAGTGCCCCTTTTGACATAAGTTTAACTAACATTGTCGTGTCACTTCCTACAGATCGTGAGCATTGATCGATTGATCATTTTATATACGGCATGATGAACAGCCAGGCCTGTAAACAGATGCTTATTTGTCAAGTTATCAACACGGCCACAGGCAAGCTATGCCATACTACTACATGCCAAAATAATGAATTCTTAGAAGCGCAAAGTCAAAATTCTCTATCTTTGCCAACTAAATAATAGATAGATTTGTTGGGAGAAAAACCATATAATTAGATTCTTCTGAAAATAGTTTCACAGAATGTACTTTAATAATTATGTACTTACATGTTGATAGAAACATTAGTTGTCAAATGGTCAGCCTAGAAAAATCTAAAATATTAAATATTTATCTTCGAATGGAGGGAGTATACGTCATATTAGCAAGTGGAAGTGGGTAAATAATGCACACCAAATTTCAAAAAACAAATTCAACAAAGGGTAATATATTAGTACCAAGATGAAACAAATTACACCCAGCCTTTACAATAACACAATTTCAAGTCCTAATCAAGACACTGAGTATGTACACAACCAAAAAGATAAAAAAGAAGAAGAAGGAAAAAAACTGACGCCACAAACCATGCACAACAAACAGACAACAACATCATTTCCCTTCATTGACAACACACGAACACCAAATTTCATGTTTTAATGCATTCGGATTATTTCTTCCTGCTAATGGCATATGTTGTTTTCCTATGTGTTTCTTTTACAAATTAGCTCAGGCATGTAATGTGGAAAATTTGCACTGGTGTCCATAAGTTGTGATTACGTGACAGGGTTTCGGACATTTCCAATGCATGATGACAAAGGAACATGGTGTTGCGTCAGTTTTGATTATGTGTTTCCGAAATTAAGTTGTGATTATGTGTTTTTTTTACTTTTTTAAGAAC